GACCTTACAGCTCCCTCCCAGTGTGAAGGGTCTTTCCACCTACTCAGCAAGCCAGATGAACCCAATTTGTACTTTAAATATAAATTTGGTACTTACAATGTTAAGGCAGACCAAGTTCTTTCTTGTGTGGGCAAAACAGCCCTTTTGGATAATGAACAAAATATCTACCACCCAGTTGAGCCAACAGGTTGGATTTCTCTGAAAACTATTCTGATTTGTAAAAACTAGCAAATAATTCAGAAATCAAAAGCATGGTACTTGTCTCATCCATTTCTGAGTCCTACCAAAGAGAGAGTCCTCCCCCTGCTCCAGCACGGAGTGGGGTACAGGCTTTTCACAAAACACAATACTGCGATAATACTGAAGGAAGGGCTCCAGGTTTGCTTTCCGTTCTATTGTCTTGTTCTGTCAGCTCCCACATCTCTCCAAAACCAGGCTTAATAATTTACGGCGGAAAGACATTTAATAAATAAGCAGCAAGACTGGAGCTGTCAGCGCGGCACAATGGGATTGTTTGCATCTTCCTCTTGGCGTCAGCACCGACTCTCCCAGCTCGCTTCAGCTGAAACAATCCCATTTGCTATTTTCATAAAATTAGTTCCTCTGCAGTTTATATTAATCAGAACATTCTTTGGAGAGAATTATACTAGGATTTTATCACCATCTGAGTTCAATCGTTCTGCGAAGCTGATGAATTTTTATCACCTCTGAGTGGCAGAGAGAGTGAGACCTGGGTGGTGGATGTGAGTGGGCAGAGTTCTCTCTCTCGATGTCGCTGAGGCCTGACAGTCTGAGGACCTGGGTCAGTCTCTTCCACTGCACACCTTAGCAGCTTTCTCCCTCAAACATATCTCCTTTTGTGTGTAATAATCCTCAGTTTTCTTGGAATCATGCACGCTTTTACAAATTTTGCAAAAGCTATGGATTCTTTCTCCCCTTGAAAAGCCCACATATACAGACAGACACTAAACTGCACCTTCTTAGTGGATCTGTGAACAATCTCTCTGCCCTCCACACACATGGCCCAGCTGGCAGACTCCAAACAAAACCAAGGAAAGCACCATAGGCTGGAGCAGAAACTCACTCACCTGCAAATTCCTTTTTTGAAAGAGAAAGGGAAGATGGAGACCTTTTAAAAAAGAATGTAAAAGTAAGAAGATTTTTCATGAAGACTGCTGTAATTTGCAGAAGTGTTCTCTAAAGGCCTCCGTGCTGAAGGGCTCAGTCCCTGGCTCATGGCTGTAGTGGGAGGAGGTTGAACCTTAGCAGAGGGGGTTTAGTACAAGGAATCCAGATCACCGTGGGGTGTGCCTGGAGGAGGACACTGATCCCTGGCCTCTTCCTGCTTCTTCCTGTCTCCCAGATGCCATTAAGCTCAGCTGCTTTGCTCCTCCACACTTCACCATGACGTGCTGCTTCATCAAAAGCCCAAAATCACTGAACCAACCAACCTGGATTGAAACTTCTTTGCAACTGTGAACCAAAATAAAACCTCTTCTTCTTTTAGATTTATTGGATTGTTTTGTTTTTGTTTTCTGGGGATTTTTGTTTATTTTTTACAATGACAGAAAGCAAATGCAGTGTACAAGAAATGAAAAAGAGAAGGTAACTCAAAGTAGTTAAAATAAATCAAGAACATCAAGGAGCCCCTAATTGGAGATATACGCTGCACTGTGTTAGTGTGAATCAGGCATGAGATTCTCTTTGCCTTCGGATTTCATAATGATTACCTGATCCTATGTAAGGTAAATTCTGCACCAGAAGACACTACTTGGACTAGTAAAGCTAGGCTCCTACTACCAATTCTGTCCACTGGTTATGTGATCTTAGGCAAGAAGTAGCTTGCCTGTATCGATCTGAGATTTCTAGATCAACACTACATGATTTTCAAAGGCTATTTCAGTTCCAACAATCTATTAGAACTGATTCATTAGAGAGAGCTAAGGTCATAAGACTCAAACCTTTTTCTTTGTCTTTTTTTTTTTTTTTTTTTTTTTTGGTACCGGGGATCGAACTCATGACCGCACACTTGCAAGGCAGGCGCTTTTGCCGCTGAGCTAAATCCCCAGCCCTCAAACCTTTTTCTTAAAATTTCCAGAAGTAAATATTTTAGGCAGTGAACCTATGGTTTCTGTAGTAACTACTCAATTTTGCTGTTGTAGAGAAAGCAGCTATAGACAACACAAAAATAAGTGAGCACGACTGTTTTACAGTAAAACTTCACCTATGGGACACTGATATTTGAATTCCATGTAATCTTTACATATCACAAAGTATTTTTCTCCTCCTTCCCAACTATTTCAAATGTAACAATCATCCTTAGCTGGAAAGCTGTATGAAAAGCAGGTGGCAGGCTGATGAAGTTCACAGGCCAGTTTACTGAGGCCTGGTTCTTTGTATCCGATAAATAATATGGTCTGAAAGATTGTGAAATTCTGAGGGACCTCAGAAGGTAAATAACTTGGCTTTACGTAGGTTCTGATAGTGGTACTAGAGGAAACTTCGGCTTACTCAGTTTCCCAATTAGCCAAATTGAAATAATGGTAACTTTTGAAACTCTACTAAAAACAATTATTTCAGGTTTTGGTATTCTTTCTGGTGTGCAAAATACTAAAATAACCACTTATGTGGAAATTCATACTTAACATCCAGGACTGCCTGGCATTATTAACTATAAAATGAACATGCAACTTTACATCCTCTCTTGAAATCATTCCATGTACCCCATAACCTTAATGACCTCTTTCCTCTTTTTTTTTTTTTTTTTTTGCGGTACTGGGGATCAAACTCATGACCTCGTACCTGCCAGGCAGGCACTTATACCACTGACCTAAATCCCCAGCCCCTTAATGACCTCTTTTTACTTCCTTCCCTATATCAGACAGAATAACAAATGATTGTACACATTTGTGAGAAGGAAATGAAACATTGCTTTTTGGTGTTGTTATCTCTTATGTTATCTCTTATGTTGTTATCTCTTATGATACCTTATGATACTGAGGCTTGAACCCATGACCTTTGCACTGAGCTACATCTTCTGTAATTTTTAAATTTGTTTTTAAAATTATGAAACAGGATCTCATTAAGTCATTAATTTACTAAGGTTGGGCTTAAACTCCCCATCCTTTGGTCTCAGCCTCCCAGTGTGGGGAGTAGAGGTGTATACCACTATACTCTGGTTGGTGTTGTTTTTGTTGATTTACTTATTGAAGAGAGAAGAAAATTATAATCCAACAAAATGATGTGCATACACACAGGGCACTTACATGTACTCTACAAGTACATATACAGCAGAGGTAAACAGCATTTTTGAAAAGCACCGTATTAAACTTGCCAAATAGAAGACAACTTTCCAAGGCAGAAAGGTCGATGGCCAGGTAATCAGTCTCCTCTGGAATGCACACACAACTTTGAGTAAGGGGCCCCGGGAGACACAGCCCAGCGGTGACAGCATGTTACTCCTTCATATCTGCCAGAAAACTAATTCCTTCTCCCAGTGAAGTGGTGAGGTTGGAGGTGAAGAGCTTGGAAGAATCTCTTCTCATGGGAGAGAAAATTTAAGAGACACTACAGGGCGTGCATCTTCATTTATGCTCATTTTTAATTTATGAAGAAACTAAAACCGGTTTGATTTTTTTTTTTTTTTTTTTTTTATCGGTACCAGGGATCGAACTCACAACTGCCTGCTTGCAAGGCAGGCGCTTATGCCGCTGAGCTAAATCCCCAGCCCCCGGTTTGATTATTAGAAGCATAAACTTCTAATAATCAACTTTCTCAGTCTCAAACTTTTGACCACTTTCTCCCAAAACATCAAGAGTTGAGAAATGGTTCTCAGCGGTCGGGCAACATTTTTCACTACTTGTCTCCATACTATGGTGCATATGCCATTGCTCATTCTTGTCTCAGTCTTTGTTCAACCAATTTCCTCGCCCTGGATTCCCTTCCCATTCTTATCCATGTGTTACAATCCAGCATTATTTTTGCTCTACCAGAGACATAACGTGCGGACTCCAGCCAAAACAAAATGTTCCTGACGCTGAAAAAGTGCCCTAAAATCTACAAGATGCTCTCAGATGTAGATCTTATCTTTCGGAGCAATCAACTATAAATTAATGTTAGGTCTTGCTTTAAAGATCTTTTCCTAATCACTTCCCGTGCTGTTGACCTACTATTACAAAACCACGCAAAGCTCACTAAGACAGTCACATCATATTTCTCGTGTGTCCTTACAATCTCAACAGCACACAGCTATATTGAACACTCAATCCCAGTGAAATGAGTTAATCAAGATACTGGCTTTTTTAATCACACAGCTTCTCATTGGGCCTCAAGATTAAACTTTTAAACACAGAAGAAATCGTTGGTTAGTGTGTGGAGTCGCAAATGAAGTGTGGGGAGTACAATAACTTGATGCCTGCATCCAATGAAATTCAACCCTCTCCTTCCCTTTCATTTGTAAAGCTATGAGCATTAAGGGAAGAATAACAACAAATAAAATGAGGCTGGCTAAGGATAAACGAAAGGTGATGTTATTAGAGCTGATGTCTTGGGCTGTTTGGTCCCACAGTGTTGTTGTGGACCCTCTGCAGTGGGCCTGGGCCGACTTCCGCCCCCACTGAGCCACTGGTTTGGGGACTGAGATGTTGATCAGGCCACCGCACAGGTACTGATGTCTTAAAGACTGCAGGACTTTAAGGCCGGGGCTGTCAGGCCCCGCCGCGGCACCTTACCGCTGAGCGATCTCCATAGTGACGGAGAAACACTAGGAAAAGCGTAACTGACCCCAAACAACCCGCCCTCAGGCCACACTGACCCAGGATTCAGTGGGTTGAAGATGATATGATTGACAGTGAAGGGAGGGTGAGGAGGCGCCACTACCCAATCTCAATGGAGGCAGTCACCGGACCCACGAGCACCGACCAATCGGAAGGCGTAACGAAGACGACGTGCCCACCCTCCATCCTCCGCGTTGCCGGGAGTGGCGGCAAACGTAAATTAGTAGGGGGAGAGATGAGCGTTAAAAAAGCGGCGCTGATTAGCCAATCCAAACTCACATGAATGAAAGCCCACTTGTGATTCGCCCTAAGTAGGCCAAAGCTCTGGCGACTCAAAGAGAATGGACCTTGAGTTGTGAGTGCAGGCCCCGCGGTGCTGGGGAATTGGTGACCCGAGCGGGAAGGAGGAAAGCGGGGCGGCTGTGACGGGAGAGGGAACAAGAGCTGGGGCTCAGGCTGCTCCGATTGAAGGAGCGGGCGGGCGGTGCACGAATCCAGCAGACCACGCTCACTGTGGGTCTGGATCCAAGGCCTGGCGACTAGACAATATTTAATTTGGCACTGATAAGAAAGTTTTGTTTCGTGCTCTTAAGAAAGTCAAAGACCAGTGCCCGATTGCCATACCTTTTGTGTGAAACCTTAATCGGTCTTAATCCCGGAGTGGGGGGGGGGGGCGGACGGCGTGGGGGGGGGCCATTCTGCGGCTAAGGCGTGGGGCAGCGTTTCCTTTCGGAGGGCGGAGAGAAGCAGGGTCCTCCACACCCTTGGGAGCTTCAGACTGGAGCCCAGGCCAGGAAGAGAGGGGCAAAGTCAGGGTCAGGAGCCAGGGAGCCCCCTTTCATCTGCGTGTTGACAGCTAGGGTTATGGTGGCATTTGAATAGCTTGGCATTTAACCCCGCTCCCCGCGCATGTTATTTTATTAACAAAAGTAAGGCGTTTTCTTACTGTTTTAAAATTCAATGATAGTGAAGTATTTATAGGAGAAAAATAAAAGAATGAAAGTCACCTAGTCCTACTTTAAGCCTTAGGACCAGCTACAAAGAAAATCGAAAGGGATTACTCCAGAAGGACCACTCACTCTGGTAATCCATTTTCTGCTGCAGTCAAGGACTTGAGCGTCAGTGAGGAGTGGGAATGGGAGCGTCAGTGAGGAATGGGTGAGGTGTCACCCAGGAGCGAGGGCCCCTAGCCATACTGTCCTCCCTGACATCTCCGTTTGTCTTGGCCCCTAAGTCATCTTATCATGGCTGTTGGTGCCCTCAGGACCCTGACCCTGTCGTGAGTGCTTACCTTATCCAGTAGTTCAATCACCTGTAAGCCTCTCTCAGTTTTCCCACAGAGCTGGATGAAAGGGCCTGTAGAACTAGCTTTAGGAAAAGCACACACTACACGCATATCCAAAGGGGTCCGAAGAAACATTCATGGAAAGACCTTGTGGCATGGAGCATAGAGGGAAAAAGATGGCCCGGTAGTCGTTCTTGTCAACTACAAACAAGGTGTTCAGATTGGGAGAGACAGTTTTGGGGACTGTTTGTTTTTTGAGAGAGAGTCTTGCTATGCAGTTCAGTGGCTTTGAGCTCACTGTGCTCAAAGCCCCATGATCCTCTTACCTCATCCATCAGAATGCTGGGATTATAAGCACAGACCACTAGATATATCTGGTGTGCTTGTATGTGTGTGTGTGTATTCCTATTCCTATTCTAGTTTACTTGTTTTCATTGCCATGAATATTAACTAAGTGGACTTACTTTTGAAATCAAGTTGACTAAACTATCAATTTTCGAAGAAGATTTGAGGAAGTACTAAGTATTCAGTAAGAATACTTCACCTTGTATCCAGTGTGACTCTAAATAATATCACTATTCTAATAAGGAGCTACAACTATTATCCTCACTTAGAATTAACAACCTAGAATGACCAGATGTTTGCTTCTCTAGAACAGCAATACATCCAGGCCTCCTTTCTATCCTTAGTAAGAAAGTGCTGGTTTGGTTATCAAGTGATCTGCCTTATCTTTAGAAGAGCCTGGAGCTGTGAATCGAATTAAAGGCATACCGTGTATGGAACCCAGTGTCTCCTGAGGGTGTAAGCATCTAGTTTCTAGTAGTACAGCTTTACCATTTGACCAAGCTTTAACTACCGTTTATCTATCATGTATTCTAAGTGTGAGAGCTGTTCCAGGGCCTGCAGGTGTAACATTCAAAAGAGCACTAGTTGGGGGCTGGGGATTTAGCTCAGCGGCATAAGTGCCTACCTTGCAAGCAGGCAGTCGTGAGTTAGTTTGATCCCCGGTACCAATAAAAAGGAAAAAGACAAAAAAAAAAAAAAAAAAGCACTAGTTAATGCATGCACATGCACACACACACACACACACACACACACACACACACATGACATGTATGTGTTTGAGACGGTCCCACTGAGCAGACCTGACTGGCACTACAGAGATCTTTCTGTGTCAGTCTCCTCATTGCTGGGATTATAGGAACATCCTACCATTTCTGGCTTAGTTATTGTCTTAGCAACCGTACTATTAGCTCAGTTAAGCAAACTAGACACCTGAGTCATTTATTTTATTTAATTTTATTTTAAGATACTACTACTTCTGACTGGCCTTGAACTCCCCACATAGCCCAGGCTACCCTTGACCTTGTGGCAATCCTCCTGCTTCAGCCTCCTGAGTGCTGGGATTATACACGCATGCCACCATACCTGGCCCAAAACCTGAATCACTTGTCCCTTGACTCCTTCCCATTTCCACAGGTAAGATGAGCTCAGATTCTTATCATCTGACATCTGGAAGATTGCTGTGGTCTTCTAATTGGTCACACATCCCTGAGTTCTGATCCAAATTCATGGGCACCTTGTTACTATTCATCTTTTTAAAATTTAAGAATTATCTAGAGAATATTACATTGGGTAATGTAATAAATAGCTATGCTTTGCCAATCAGACTAATCCATGTTAGCTTTCTGGCACATCCACTAAAGTTTTTCATTTCAGAAAAATAAAAGATCACGACCTTAGCTCAGGTCCCTCTGGTCCTTTTCCTGCTCCCATCCGTCCCCACAGGAAGACACCTCGGAAATCGTGCGTCTTTCATTTCCAGGGTTTCTTACTTTTGCTCTGTGTATGTAAATCACAGGCAGTGTATGTAATTTAGATTTTCAATTAATTTTAAAACACAGCTAATGATAAACTAGGGCTTTCCTTTTGCACTTTTATCACTAACACTCTGAGATACATTTGTGTCAAAATGTAAAGATCAAGTTTATTCATTTTAGATGTTTGTCATTAGTATATATTGTATCTGTTCCCTTATTAATGAACATTTCATTTAGCTTTTTTTCCTGCTTTTTCTTTAATTAACAGAGCTATCATGGCAATCCTTGTATGTATATCTTCATAGAGAACAGTTTTTCTCAGACAGTAGTTCCCCTAGGGGGTGGTACCAGCCCTGGCGTGCATTTTGGAATTTGCAAGGCATATTTAGTTATGACTGATTGGAAAGGGGGTCGTGGGGTTTGCTGAGCAGGGCTTGGGACATGGGTATTCTGGATGGAACATTCTGGACGCGGGTAATGGATGGAACAGTCTCAAGTGAAGAATTACCCTGTATCCTGCATGGCTTTTGAGTATCCCACAGGATATTCATTTATAATTATCTGGGCCTAGAACTTAACTCTATTTTTTTGTATTAACATAATGTATTTTTTGGCACAGTTTAATATAGTAAAATTTCCAGGAATGTAACTCTAATGTAAATCAAGAGAGAATTATACTAATTTGTGGTTTGGAACTTTAACAAGAGTTGTTCCTCACTCTAGAAAAATCACATAACCGAAGGCAGCACAGCTCGTGGTATTTGAGCTGCCAGTACAACACACCTGCATAGACTGCGTGCGTAGCGCTTGCATTTGTGGGGATTCTAAGTTTAGGTGCGAGCATCTGACTACTGTACTTCATTATGTATTCTAGCGTAGTCAGCCTGAACATTTGTGTATTTAAACATATGCTATTTCATCATAAATCACTTCCATTTAAAATTGGCTTCTGAATGTGATACAGAGGAGAGGTCGGATTTTATTATTTTCCGGTTGGGTAATCACTCCTCCCACCACCGCGTACGCGGCCCTCCACCGCGTGAATCACACAGTCGCTTCCTTTCCGCATGATGTTCTCACAAATGCACGGATCTGTTCCTGGGTTCCTCATTTGATGCCACTGGTCCATGTGTCTTTGAGCCATCATCACACTGTTTTAATTACCTTGGTTTCATAATGTAGCTTGTGGCAGTTGGTAACAAGAAAGGCAAGTTGCCATCCTAGTTCTCAAAATTGTTCTGGCTATTCTTGGGTTTTTACTTTTTTCGTGTGAATTTAGGATTTGTTTCCATGTTCCACACACAAAAAAAAGTGCTTCAGATTTTGATTAGAATACATTAAATTTATAGATTAAGGAAAATTGAGATCATTTCATCAAACCATCCCATCTAGGCCCATGGGTTTTTTCTCTTTTCAGGGCTGCTTGATTGCTCTGTCCAGGTACTTTTAAAGTAAAATGTCTTTGAATAAAGTTTTATAATTTTAGCTATAAAAATCTTACAAATCCTGTGTTATATTTATACATACTTATATACATATACAGATATATCTTTTGTCTTAGTTACTTTCTCATTGCTGAAACAAAATACCCAACACCCACAAGTTTAAGGAAGAGGGGTTTATTTTTCCTCACAGTTTGTAGAAGTTTCAGCTCATAATTGGCCATTCCAAGGCAGAGGGGCACGGCAGCAGGGGAATAGTTCATGGGAGGACAGGCAGGAAGCAGAGATCAATCAAGGGAGGAGGAAGCTGTGTGTATTTCCCGGCCAGCTAACTCTGTCTATCCCGCCTCACCTCTGAACATGGTACCCAGCTATAAACCCATCAGTGGACCAATTAAGTGCATCACACACCCATGATCTGGTCACCTTCCAAAAAGCCTCACCCACAAACATACAAACGTATTAGTGAGACATCGTATAAACCATAACTCTTTTTACTATGAAAGATTCGAACATATTCTAAGATAAAGAAAAATATCCTAGTGAATACCCACACATTCATCACCTAGCTTCAATAATTAGCTTGTGGCCAGTTTTATTTCATATTGGCCCCTTTCAAATTCCTGCACACAATTTCTGTTACCGGTAATTTTTTATACCTGCATCTGTACATATGTGTACCACAGAAAATCTTCAATGTTTAAAAAAAAACTTTTTTACTTAATGTCAAATATTCAGCCTGTTCTAATTTCCTCAGTCATAAAAGATTTTTTACAAGTGCTTGGTTTGAATCAAGACTCAAACTGGGTCTGCATATTACATTTGGCTGATAGGCCTCTTAAGATTCTTTAAACTTTCTAATGAAGTGTAACACACAGGTAAATATACAAGTCCTAAATGTGTAGCTAGCTGTGGTTTACAGAAATGAGCAAAATCAGTAATACACAGATCAAGAAACAGAGTTATAGCAGTGTTATGGCTGAGTTCTATATGTCTTCCCAAAGCTTCGTGCCCTCATAGGTGGGGCTTTTCAGAGCTGGCTGGATCTCGGATGCGTGATACGTGATGAAGGGCGAGATGAAGGGCGGTGGTATTAAATTAACCCACTGATTAGTTCGGGGTAGGTCTGGTGGTGGGTCTTGGGGTGTGGCTAAGGATTGTAGCCTGGTGGGATAAAAGGGAAAGGGAGGCTGTGCATTCCTGCTGCCTCCCGCCTGCTCTGCCCTGGACTGTTTCTCCCCCATGGTGCCCCTGTGCCATGCCATCCTGCCTTGGAGCCAGCAATCTAAACTGAAACCTCTACAAACTAGGAAGTGAAAAAACCTTTTCTCCCTTAACTTCTGGGTGTAGGGCATTTTGTCTCATGACAAGAAAAATAACGAACACAATTAGCACATCAACACTCCTAATCACTATGTTCTGCAGAGTAAACAGACTCCTGACTTCTTGGCCTCCCAAAGTACTTTGGCCTGTTTTTTAAACATTATAAATGAATCTTATATTATGAACTATTTTACTTTTATCTTCTTTACTTAATACTTATGAAAAAAGTACCTCCATCATTGGATACAGTGATAGGCTCACATTTATTTATGCTATTTTGTTGATAAATGAATAGATTGTATAATACCACACTTGATCGATTCTTTTAGTGGATTTGTGGGTTATTTCCTTCTGTAACTTTTCAAAATTATTGCAGTGAGGTATCGTTTGTTTATTAGTACATGCAGTAATGTTTACATTTCTCATGTGGAGTTGGTACCTGTACATAATATATCTTAATTCCTTTTTTCATCCCCTTTGTCCCTCTCTTCCTCTCTCATACGTCCATTCAGATGAATGAGTAAAGAAAATGTGGCATTTACACACAACTATTACTCTGCCACGAAGAAAGATAAACTTGAGTCATTTATAGGAAAATAGGTGAACTTTGAGGCCATAATGTTAAGTGAAATGAATTGACATATATGTTTAAAGATTGCATGGTTTCTCTCTTATAAATACTATATAAAGTACAAAATAAAATATAGGTGATAGGAAGTAGGGAGATAGATCTTTCCCCAATGGGAAGGAGCAGTGAATTTCTGTATGTGTCTAACTTGTCAGGAATCCTCCTAGGAATTGAAGAGGTGGATCTAGGTGTGTGAATGTCCAGCTAATAGACATTACCAGGTCTTCGCAGCAGTGGTAACAGTTGATCCTCTTACCAGCAGTGGACGGGGGTTCTATGATTCTTTGTCATTGCTGTCCCTTTATGTTGTCTATCATATTCATTGTAGCTATTCGGGTGGGTGTGGAGAAGTACTAAATTTTGGTTTCTATTTGCAATTTTTTGATGACCAAGTTGAGCTGCATTTCACATATAGATCATTCAGATGTTTTCTGTGTCAATATTTGTGCTTTTTTTTCCACTGTCATTTTCAGTACTGGAGATTCAACCCAGGGGCACTCTACCACTGAGCTGTATCCCCAGCCCTTTTATTTTTTATTTCAAGACAAAGTCTTGCTAAGTTACCCAGACTGGGCTCAAACTTGTGGTTCTCCTGCCTCAGCCTCCCTTAGTGCTGGAACTAAAGGGGTATGCCACCATACCTGGCTGTTCTTGTTTTTATTTGTTTTAACTATTAGATTTGATGCAAGTATACCCAAATTTTCCACTGAAATTCTGAGCATGTTCATTTATTGCAGTGCTTAAGTCAGTTTTTGCTTTGTATATTTGAAAGCTACATTGTTAGGTTTATATTTGTTTCAAGTTGTATCTTTGGTGACAGTTCCTATTAATATTCTTCAAAATTGTATGCATTTTTCTTAATACTTATATTGCTTTACGAACTGTTTTAACTTTTTAAATTGTAGTAAAAACATACAAAATTTATTACCCAAATCAATTTTAAGTATTCAGAATATTTACATTTTTCACTAAAGATGTGGCTCAGTGGAAGAATGTTTACATTTTTGTAAGACAGATCCAAATCTTCTTCATCTTACAAAGCTAGAACTCTGAACCTATTGAACGTTTCTCTGTGCCCTCCTTCCCCTGGTATCTTCTTTGTTAGTATGCTTTTGTGTGTTTTTAAATTTTACTTTCACTCTGCTTTTTGTGCACCTTTTATAGAGAGCTGTTTTTATTTTTTAAAAATGAAAGCCTTTCAATAGTCTGTTTGCATTTACTGTAGCTATTGTTGTATTTGGTTTTAGATTTCAATCGTATTTTGTATTTTTACTTTTCCTTGCTTTGTTCTTCCCCAATTCCCCCTTTGCTTTTCTTCCTTTACTTTTTTTCATTGTATGAGTGTGGAAGTTATTCATTTATTTCTTTTGTTTATACTTGTCTACCTTTTTTTTTTTAAAAAAAAAAAAGCAGCATGTATACATAGCCTAATAAAACCCTGATAGAGAATCATTAATTCTTACCTCTTGCAGAGCTAAGGAATGTCTGTAGACCGCTTTGACTTTGAACTGTTCTTTCCCTTCTTCCATGTGAGTGTTGAGTAATATTTAGTTCTTCCTTATTTGCTAACCACTAAAAAAATTGTTCATTTCTGTGATTACAGGAATCTCCATAGACAACATCGGCTGGTTTGATGTCCCCTTACACTCTCCTTGTATCTTATGCCTCCTCTGTGGGTTCATTTTCCTTCTTGCTGAAGCACATCTCCGAAGAGCTCTTTGAAAGGGATATTGAGAAGTAAGCCCATGTCAGAATTCATATGTCTAAAAGCATCTTTCCTTTATGCTTACTCTTAAAGGACTCCTACCTGTCCACCTGCCGTGGCACCCTAACAGAGGCTTCGGTTTCATCTCTGCTGGGATAGCATGGGTTTCTCTCTTTCAGTCTAGTTTTCATGTCAGCAGATATCAATACTGCCTTGACAATGTGATGAGAACCCTAAACTTGCCTGCGATTCAAATTTCTTTTGGGTTAGCATTTTTGTTTGTTTGTCTTTCCACCCATGGTCAGAAGCACTTGGCCAGCTCTCTTCCAGCTTCTTAGCAAATTTTTCAGATCCTGTTTCAAAACCCAGGTCAACCTTTGTGGCACAGCATGGTACACTATCCACGGTCCAGTCTCATTCTGGGCCTGAGGCCTCCTCTGGCCAGGCCTGGCGGCCTGGTGGGGATGTGCCTGGCACCAGGACCTCTCACACCCGTGACCTTAGCTCCTGCTTGCACTCAGGCTGAGTTACAGTTTTGTTTCGGGAACTTGAGGATTTTCCTTCACTGGTCTCTATGTATTCAATGTTTAAATTCCATTTATTGAGCATCTCCATGGTCACTTCCACTGTTAGCCCTGGCCAGCGCGTTTCTTGGGAGTGAGTCACCTCTCTGAACCCTGATGTGACCTTGGTACTCCCTCACCTGACTTGCAGACTTGGTGACCCTGCTTCCTGTATTCATTCAACAAATATTTATTGCACATAACTTCTGCACATAACAAACTGGGAATACGTACCAGGGTGTGGAAAATACAAAATTTACACCCTCGTAAGTTTATTGTCTTAGAAAAAGAAACCATCAGCGAGCGAGTAAAACATGCAAATGGTAGAGAGGAAGGTACAGAGTACTTGTCCAGCGTGCATAAGACCTTGAGCTCAGTCCCGGGACTACAAAACAGAACCATTTTAGTTCCTGCAGCCCTTTTTTCCCCGGAGCGCAGGGCAGACGGCCCTCACTTCTGCCTGGACATGTCTGCCTTTGCTGTCCTGACTCGTCATACCCTGCTGTATGATGTGTCATTCTGGGGAAGTACAGAATGTATGTGACCAAATAAATGTGATTTTTTTTAATTTTAGCAGTTGACATTTAAAGCTTCTTTTTCAGTAACTTTGTAACACACCTTCTCATAGATAATATTTTCATACTTAAATAATCATAGTAAAGAAAAACAGCAACCTAAGAAAGAATTTGTTTGCTTAAAATCATCCCTGACATGGAAAAGCAAAATGGGGCGGGGGTACTCGCAGTTACCCTGTGGGGAGTTGAATGGGGGCTCCCCAAAAGATATGTGCAAGCCAAGTGTGGTGGCGCATGCCTATAACCCCAGCACTCGGAAGGCAGAGGCAGGAGGGTCATTGTGAGTTTGTGGCCAGCTGGGGCTATGTATTTAGTTCAAAGCTAATTTGAACTACCTAGAAAGACCCTGTCTCAGAAAAACACAAATTAAAAATTTCCTAAAACAATGTAGCAAAACAAATGATAAATCCATATTCTAACGTCTAGAATATGTGAATGTGGCCTTAGTTGGCAAAAGAGTCTTTACAGATATAATTAAGAATCTGGTGATAAGACCATACCAGGTTATTGTGCAGACTTAAGTCCAGTGAAAAATATTTAATGGACAGACAAGAAGCAAACAGAAACAGAGAAGGCGGTGGAGATGGAGATGAGACAGATTGGAGTTTGAGTCACAAAGCAAGGAGCAGTTTGAGCCACCGGGAGCAGAAGAGACCAGGGAGGGCCTCATAGATCCCAGGACAGCTCGCCCTGCCCATGCCAGTGTGAGACTGTGAGAGGAGTTTTGTTGTCACAGCGCACTAACGAGGAAACAAACCTGTGCCCTTTGTAGTTAGGCTGCACTGACACCTATAATATAGATACAGTAATATCTTCCTTGGGGCTTCCTGCCGTGGTTTTAGGAGACATATTTATAAAATATTTAGCACAGAGTAAACACCCAAAAATATTGATAACTGTTCTTCCTCCTCTTTAAGGATGGGCATTTTCTTTCTTTGGTGAATAAGAACTCTGAGAATGCAGTGAAAATTCCTGTCTTGGGATCGCCTGGTGAGTCAGAGTCCAAACTGAATTGAACCTGCAAGCTTCAGCCTCTGCTTGGGTGCTGGAGCTCCCAGCCCTGGCGCCTTCTAAGGGTCCCCCGTGATGGTTTTGTAGCAGGCAGAGTTCAGCCTTCCACTGTGGGCAGGGGGAAGAAAACACACTGGAACCCACAGACCACATTTCAATTAAATGATGCAACAGAGCAGAGGGTAATTTCACAGTGTCCACCACCGAGAAAGGCTTTGAGCCCCTCTACAGGGCTTCCAGGATGGGGCACTGCTGCGAGCTAAAGACCTCCCGTCTCTCGGGGTACAGGCTTTCTGTCTCAGGGCCAGGCTTGGGCACGGTGGGGCCCAGCCCGGTGGGAGCTGACACCACCTTCTTCCCCAGGATGGCTGGCACGGTGCTGGGAGTGGGCGCCGGCGTGTTCATCCTGGCCCTGCTGTGGGTGTTGGTGCTGCTGCTGTGTGTGCTGCTCTCCAGGGCCTCCGGGGTAGCTAGGTAAGGCATCTTTCCAGCCGGGAGTCCTAGGTAAAAGCAATTAGAGGTGAAATCGCTGACGCTCATTAAACATTTAGAATTCAGAAGATCATTTTTGTAATTACTGGCAGTTTGAACGAGTTGCATTTTAACCTCTTATCAGAAGCACTAACTGTGTTATTTATGCCCTAAGGCAGAGGTGGGAGGAGAAGGGAAGTGTATTTTTCAGTTCTTACTGTGGAGGACATGGGTGGGGGTGACACGAGATGACAAGAAAATATGCCTTCCCTGCCCACTGAATTCCTTGGAGTTGTATGTGGGAGATTTTCTTAATTGTTCAGATTGATGACATGCATGCTTGGTCTGCTCCCTAGAGCTCTAGACCTGGGCCAGGGGAAACTGCAGAGCATTCTATGGGCTGGAGCTGCGCTTTATACCAGGGGTTGATTTTTAGAACAGTTAGGCCATAAGCTGGCCCTGAAAATACAGCAGAGTTATACTCAGGTGAAGCAGCATCAGTCCGAAGCAGAGCTACAGCATTTCCTCAGGTGCTCTGGGCTAAAAACAGGTGAACACGAGGAGAGGCTGCTTTGATTTTTCTTGATTATGATTTTATGTGGAACAGGAAAATGGCGGACTCCCCTTGGTAGACTTTGGTGTTACCCAGAAGAAACAGGAGGGAAGGGTCTGGGGTGGCGGGGACGGGTGGCAGGCCTGTGGTCGCTGGTAAGGGGCAGCGGTGGAACCTGTCTGGGCTCGTCGCTTGGGGAGGAAGCTGTTAACAGCACTTCTTTCTCACCCAGGCTCTCTGTGGTTTTTGTATTCCTCGCTGCGGTGATTGTCACGGCAGTTTTGTTACTCTTCCCCCGAGCCAGCGAATTTCCAGACCTGGCAGTGGAGATGAAGGTAAAACTGTTGGATTTTGGTACCGTGCTTTCAGGCCCAAACCTCCATTCCGCCCTTCAACCCGACATGTGTGAGAATTCTCACTTTCAGGCAGCTCCTCTTGTCACGCAGGGAAGGAATCCTGTAGTTCCCGCCTGCAACACCACAGGCAGGGATCTGTCTGATTCAGTCTCAACCCAGCTTGCATCAAGCTAACCACCATGTGTTGAAAGGCCACCTCTTACTATGAGAGAGAAAAGGAGCTGGTCACTGACGGACCTGCTCCTAAGCAAGGTGTTCCCATTGCTGCAGAGCCTTAAACTCTGGGCCCACGCCCCAGGCGGCCCTCAGCCCAGTGACACGCCCTTGCATTTGCTGTGGAGAGCACTGCGTCCATAGATAGGCAAAGCAGAGCCGGAGGAACATCTCTACAGAAAGCAGAAGGTGAAGATGTCCAAGGGTTGAGCCAGGCGTGGCAGTGCACACCTGGAATCCTAGCTGTGGCATTATTTTCCTTGAGTTTTCAGAGCTAAGTGCCTTCTTTTCTTCATGCTTTAGGCCCTAGGTAGAGCTGAATCAGGAGGATCACAAGATTGTGGCGGGCCTCGGCAACTTAGTGAAACCTTCAAAACACAACAATTTTTAAAAGGCCTGGGGAGGAAGCTCAGTGGTAGAGCACCCCTAGGTTCAATCATCAGTAGTCCAAAAAGGGAAATAAAAGCTATAGATCAGTGGTGGCGAAGCTATGACGCATCTTCTCTCCCACATCACAGGGCTCACATAAAATCAGCACGTGGGCTGATTTTATGATTGAAAGCTCTAGGTTCGCCATCACTGCTGTTTGCATCAGTGCTAACAATTCCTGGGTCCTCAGGACCATATCTGCTGGCTCCCACCTCTGTGAGTAAGTTTTATCACCTCTCATCCTTTTCTGGAGATGCCGCCTGTCCTGGCCCATCCCTGACACGGTACTCTGGCTTCATTAATCGTGGCTGGTGTCAAACTCATAGGATATTGAGAAAGGATCCCTCTGTCCCATTACTCCTTCTGTTATCCTTTTTACTTCCATTTTAATGTTTAAAGTCGAATAATATAGTAGCTAATATTTCTGAAAGGAATGCTGTATGCTGGATTCTATGATCAATATGTGTGTATTATGTCATCTAAACCTCAGGACAGCCCTAAGTAGTATCATGTGGGCACTTCTATCTTCCCCATTTTACAGATAACAATACTGAGGCTGTAAGAGATGAAGGTAACTTGACCAAGGTGACTCATATGCATAAAAAGACAGCAAGAAATCAAGCTGAGGTCTGTCTTAAAACAGTCCTCATTGTCTGGGGCTTGAATAGCGAGGGCCACCCCAGAGAACTCACCATTTTGATATTGGAGAGCCATACACAAAATTATATAACTTAGAGAATGGCAGACACACACTTCCAGCTCTACCTAGGGCCTAAAGCATGAAGAAAGGAAGGCACTTAGCTCTGAAAACTCAACGAAAATAATGCCACAGGAATCCAGGGAATTATTTCCATGGCTGTTGGTTTTCTGTGTGCATTTGGAAACTACCCAGCCGGTGTGGGTACCCGTGTGCAAACGAGGAGGAAATTCCACCTCAGTGTCCTTGTCTTCGTGGTAAGGGAGACAGTGACATCAGCTGTGTGTTTCCACCCTGAGAGGATGTGAGAGAGAAGATGCCCCAAGCAAACACGGCTTTGAAATCAAGCTCTGTTCTCCATCACATGACTTCAGACTCCTCAGGAAACTGAATCTGGGCAAAATAGGTTCGCCAGCATGGCCACAGAATCGGACTCCTCATTTTCAGATTTCCAGAGCTTGGCCGTGCAGCCGCCCGGCTCAGTAGGTATCAATAATACATGACCTGGGCCTTCCACACCCAAGGCCTGCTAATTGGCTAATTAAAAAGCGAAACAGTCCACCGAACAAACATGCAGCCCGCAAGAGACGCGTTCAGTGCTGAAGCCAAGGTCAAAGTTACGTTAAAGCTCTTGTACAAAACTGACCTTAGCTGGAAGTTGACGGTGGGGAATCTCCTGAGGACTCGGGGTGTCTGTAGCCCTCTTAGAGTCTGCAGGGCTCAGTGATGCCATCAGTGCTCGGGTTCCACCGACGCCTTGTCAATACTGAACTAGTTTTCTATCACCGCAGTAATAAATTCCTGCAGCGGCTGCAGGGTTCTGCAGAAGTCCAGACCAAGTCTCGCTGGGCTAAGATCAGGGGTTTGCAAAGGTGGTGGTCCTTGTGGGGGCTCTGGAGGGGAGCCTTTCCTCACCCGTCCAGCGGCTAAGTCTCTGGCCAGCAATGCCCCATGTCTCTGCTCCCGGCCCGTCCGTCCTTCTCTTCCTGTAACTTGTAAGGACCCTCGTGGTGACCCCAGGCCCACCTGGGTTGGGTGTCCAGGCTAGCCTTCCTATGTTAGGGACGGCTGGTTAGTAACTTTAATTCCCTGTTGTCCTGTGATCTGACAGTCTTAGTTTCTGGGGACTGGGGTGTGGGCAGTTTTAGACAACTTCGTTTTGTCTGTGACAGTCACCTCTCAGTTATTTTGGATTCTCTTGGGTTTTCCAAACTTCTGTAAAGTCACCTAGTCACAGTTCTGTGGTTCATGTTGCTGTGCCATTAAGTCTATACATTAAATCGTGTTTTCCTGCCCAAATTTAAGTGCCACCATTTGGCTCTGGGGCGAGTGGAGTTTAGGTGGTGGACTGCAGGCAGGTGGGCAGAGCCCACCCCGGTTACATGTCTGTGTCAGCAAAGGCAGGTAGAGTGGGGCATCAGGTGTGACCGGTTTACTGTATCACAGGGCAAATTCCTTGTCCTTTTTAAACATTTTAGTATCTCAGGCAAATGGCCATTTTCCCTCCTTGTTAGGATGCTAGGTAACAAACATTAGAATTCAGAACTCTTCTGGTGACAGCTATAAAGAGGCACTGTCTCACTTTGAAAGCAAACCCTTCACAGCTGCAATGGGGTAATGGCTTTTAGGGCTGGGTCCCAACATGGGGTTTATTATATTATTGTATCTTCATGTATGTTTATGAGGTTTCCTAGGACCAAGTAAGCTTCGTATTAACTCTTTCAGGTAACTGATTTCAGAACATGAAAAGAACTCATTCAGGAACTTCAGAGCATTTATGAACCTCTTAAATTGAGCTATCCCTTCCCTGCATTTGGTAATCTTTGTATCTCCTACTCAAGGAGTTGAGGGACAGAATCTTTCTTGCCTGTTTGCAGGCAAGGCTCAGGGTGGGATGCTCCTGGGAGTTACAGCCATAAAGTGAACAGACTCCGCTGTTCATCCCAGATTTCAGATGGATACAGCCCGGATGCTGGTGTGAGAGGGATTTCATTTTGACACCTTCTTTCCCCAGATCGTGGACGCCTTTTTCATTGGGCGCTATGTCCTGCTGGCTTTCCTGGGCACTGTCTTCCTTGCAAGCCTCTTCTTGGTTCTGACGCATCATGTCCTGGAGCCCATCTATGCCAAACCACTGCGGTCCTGCTGAGCGCTGTTTGGGAAATGGAGTCCCGTGGCCTCCCGGCCTCCGTGTGGATGCATCAGTGCACAGAAAGCCACTCTTCAAGCCCTGTTTTTACAGCCTTTGTGCCTGAAGAGTAAGGAACTGTCCATGCTCACCAAGATAACTGTCCTGAGCCTTGGACTCTACAAACAGGGTTGCAACATGGTCTGGGGGACACAGTCACACCCACTGGAAAGGAATATTGTCATCTTGCTCTCTGTGCTTTAGGAATTTCACATTTGGAAAGAGAAACAATAATTATCTGCTTAGAGCAGATTTTCAGTGGTTATTAGTAAGTAGATTTTGGAGTATTTTGGCTTCTGCTGTCCAGTAGAAGAATCTTTTTAATAACACAGTATGTAAATTTTTGTAACTTTTGTTTTTGTACTGAGGAATAAACACAAGCCCTTCACAGTGAGCTCCAGCTCCAACGCTGGTTTTATTTTTCGAGTTTATTTTTGGGCTTGCTAAATTGCCCAGGTGGGACTTGAACTTGCCATCCTCCTGCCTCAGCCTCCCAAGTACTCGGACTATAGGTGTGTGTGAGATGCCTAATTATGAGGTTAGACTCACAAAGGAAAGATTCTCAACTTTTCCCTACTTTATAATAGGGCCTTTAATAAATAGGTTGTAGTAAAAATTAAATAAACTTCAAAGAAATGAGCATACTATTGGCATAGAAGTGTATACTTAATCTTTCTAACTTGTTCCCTTGATTCTGAATTTTAAGCCAGAAAACTCAGCTTCATATAGCTCTGGGATTCAGGATAACATTTCTGACATGGAGTGCACCAGAGTTTGAGTTTTTTAGTGATGGATTTCACTGAGTTTGGGAGATTAGACAGGTATCAGAATTTAATGTCGAGAATGCACATTCCTCACTAGCTTTGGAGAAAGGACCACAAAGATAGGAAGCGATCACAACCAAAAGGGACTCCTCTTAATTAAATGAGGTACACAAGGGCCAGAGATCCTGGAAGAAAAACAGGGATTTATGGCAGCCAGACAGAGACCCACCACTCACACATCTTCCCTTTAATCCCCAGGAGGTCTTGAAATATAAAAATACCAGCTTCAGAAAGCTGTGGCAAAGAATCTGACCTGCAAATCAGCTGTGGGTTGTTGTTTATTGCTTTATTAAAGAGGGAAGTGACTGCTATTACCTTTCAAGAGTTCCATGAAATCATACGCAGAATGGTCAATAGTTATATCTATATATAGCTTCCAAATTATCACATTAAAATAACTTTTGCATTTGAGTATCTTTCCTTTGTAAGAGAGTGCAAGAGGTCTGTCTGTGCACCAGGGCCAAAGGCCTGGACCTCCCTGTGGTGTCCCAGGTGAGTCTCCACTGGAAAGCTGAAGAGTCAATCCTGAAAGCCAGGAAATGACATCCAAGTTGAAACCAAAGACTGGAGCTCGAGGCAGGAAACAGGAGCAATCTTTGCTTCTTCCTTTCCCTTTTATACCATTCTGGCAATGATCCTCCCTAGGGTGAGTCTTCTACATCCAGAATTATGCTGAGCCAATTTAGTTGAACATTATTTCCTCAAATTGACACAATCAACCATCACACCCATGAAGCTCTGTAGAACTTTGATTGAGAGCTTGAGGGAGATTAAGGCTCTTCCTTCTTTCTGTCCTGGATCCTGTTGTCAGGGTGGAGGTCCCCAGTCCTGCCTCCCCTGAGGGGCTCAGCCCTAAATGACAAGAGGCAAGAGCTGGTAACTAACAAGAGTCCCGGCTTGGTGAGGGTCAGGTGGGTTTGTCCCTCCACTTAAACTGTCTCCTTTATGGCCTCAGTTTGAAAAAACTTTGCAGAGAATGCTTTATTCAGAAAGTCTTAATGGAGATCATTTTCTCCCCAGCTTTTTACAAATTCCTTCTTAGTTTTTTTTTTTTTTTTAGCACATATTTTCCATACACAATGCTCACATTCATCACTGGGAATCTTTACCTATACACGATGCCTTGTTCCCACCCCCTCTCCTTCCTTCAACCCCTTTTCCCCTCCCCATTTACAAAAGCTTAGTTTCCATTCTTTTTTTTTAAATCCCTCTGCTTTTCTCACTCCCTTTTCCCTTGCTCATCTTCCCATTTGAACAGGTTCTTCCTGCTTCCCAAGACTATCCTCCATTTTGCTCCTTACTTTACCCTTTTGGTTTCTCACGCAAGAGAAGCAATGCAATATTTAAACTTGTGTGTCTGATTTGTTTTGCTTAAAATTATGGTCTTGAGGTGCGTCCATTTATTAGAGGAAATTGCTGCTTAATCTGAGTGAGGGCCCATAGGTAAGAGAAGACATATCCCTCCACACTATGAAACATGGCGGACCAGGGTCAAGGGCTTCGCACCTGACATGCGCACTGAGGCTTCCGGATGTCCGGCCTCTGTGCAGAGGCTGAGCTGGGTGCAGTGGGACACGGCCTTCTAACAAACCACGGGGTCCCTGCACCTTCTCCTGAAAAGACTTGCTGGAAAAGCAACTCTGGGAAAGCTCTTGTGGCTTCCTGACCTTGAATTCATTCTTTTTTATTCATTTTTGAATCCATCTTTTTTATTTCTCCAAAAAGGTGTCCAGCGACTGAATAATAGTGGAGAGGTCTTGGGTAATTTTTCACACGGAGAAAAATGTGTTTTAAGTTGGAAAAACTAAATTCTTTCTCAGACAACACTACCGTCCTTAACAATGTGGACTTTTAAACCTGATGTGAACGATAGACTTGTGTGCCAAGTTTGGCTTTCATACTTCATTCAATGCATTTCAAGAAGGCCTGCCTTCTGTGGCTCCCAGGTCTGTAATTACTAGCTGTGACAAAATGAAATATTGTTCTGCATCTTCAGGTGATGGTGTGTGACCCTGGAACAAAGTCCTCATGGGACTAGGCCCGGAACTGGAGGGCTGAGAACACAGTGTGCATTTCCCAGACTTGGTCACAGGGTGTCCACATCACTGTGTCCCAGAGACAGGGCTTGAAGCCCTCCTCTTAAGTAAATAGTGTTTCCTTAACCATTTTGTCATCAGGTGGCCTCACAGTAGGTTGTGCAATCTTTTTTTTTCCTTGTGTTTTTGAGAGAAAGGGGGTGTTGCTAGGCAGTTCAGGGTGGCTTTGAATTCATTTTGTAGCCCAGGATGGTTTTGAACTTGCAAGTGCTCCTCCTGCCTCACCCTCCTGAGGCAGGGGTTACAAGTGTGCACCACCACACCCAGCTCTCTGTTCCCTATCCAGAGACTGATAATCCTTACTGCTTAGAAGTTTGGGAGGGAGAGTAAATCCAGGCTTTTCTTTCAGAGCCTTCCAAACTTGTCTCCTGACAAACTAATTTAGAGGACACCACCTCCCACCTCAAGGCCTTCTAAAAGTTTCTCAAGCCAGCAAAGCACTTCTATGATAAATTCCTTAAATTTCTCGTTTATATTGCCCTTTTTTGATGCAGGGTATAAGATACAAAAACATCCCAAGTGCCATATGGCTTCAGGCACCAGGGACTGCCTCAGGCTGATGCACACCGATGACACACAGAAGTGTCATGAGCCTGATGGAGAAAAGAACATTGGCCCTGCTGGCTCGACCAGTCCCCGGACCAGCTCATCTGGCCTGTCTCCCTAGCTCATCTCAGGGTGGAAGCATCCCCATTACCCTAACATGTTTTTATTCTAACAGAGTGATCTGTTTCTTGCTCTGACAAGACATAAACTTTTTTTATTGACTCTATTTCATTGCTGCTACAGCTGAAGCATTTCTATTTTATTCTCAGTGTAAAAAGAAACCTGCTGTCATTAATTTACAGAGCAGAAACAGAAAAAGAGGAAAAGGCATTTTAAAAGCTTCCTAGCTAGGAGGTAGTGACACTCAAAAATGTGACGGTAGCCCAGCCTCCCAAATGGATCCCTGATAGCTCATTTCTTAGGTTACAGGTCATTTTTGGTAATATACCTGCCCGTTTCCCTAATTTAGATCCAAAAGTTTTAAAAAGTTCCATTAAGTAATTCTAATTAACAGTGATATAACAGATAAGTAACATTTTATTTTAACTCCTTAGCTTAAACCTTTAAGTATTTGGTGATAGTTATATAGAAACAAGTTTCCAGGTGTGATGTGGGAATCAGAACCATATGGAAAAGAGTCTCGAAAAGTGTTGATTAGCCTCATAGGAGCATAAAAAACTGAGGATCGGAAAGGACTTTATAGTTGATAGAGTTCAATCCTTAATCACTAGATCCATCCCAAAACTTGGAAATAAGTGCACTTCGCATGTTGAAATCACAATTTTTATTATATTTTCCAAACGTGTGCCAGACATTTTTGTAAGTGGGCTGTCAGCAGTAACTCCTGTCCCCAAGCATCATCCCCACCAAGCAGGTCCCCTGGAGTCCCCATTTCACAGGGGAGCTGGGCGCCTCGAGACGGCCTTGCGAGGGGACACAGCGGGCAGGGTTTGCGGTCGAGCAGGCTGGCTCCATGTTCACTGTTCTCTCTCATACTACGGTGCTACGTAAGAGGGAAACAGGACAAGAAGGGACCAGGACCATACGGTGCAAATCCGCTTGACAAAAACACCACAGAAAAGCAGCTGAGTCTGGTAGAAAATCCAGAATCTTGGGAATTGGGCTTTAAGAGTCTGGAGCAAAGCAGTTAAAAGACAAGCGGGACCTCAGAGACAGCTTCACCGGCTGGAACCCTCTCCAGCAGGTCTCTGTTCTGTTGGACCTTGGCCTCCCCTTGCTGGTAGCACTAAACAATTGAGCAGCTACGTAACAGACCCAAGTCTTCCAGCAGGGGGTCAAGGATGCCATGCTGGCCTGGTACCTGGCTGTGCCCTCCACGTGTTTTTAAGCTTTGGGGATTTCACTGCTGTCCTGTCTTTTCATTGTCTGTCTCCCAGGTTTACCCTGAGTGTATAGATAGCCTCCCACCACTGTTCTAACACAGAACCACCATAGTGATTTAGAACACCACCAGTTTATCCTGGAGTTCTGGACAGCAAAGATTAGAAACGGGTCTTATGAGACTAACGAGTCTCAAAGACTTGAGGGCAGAATCTGCTTCCCTGCCTCTCCCGGCCTTTAGAAATCCCTCATTCCCTGGCTGGTGCAGTGTGGCACCTTCCAGCCTGACACTGCTGCCTTCCTCTGTGATTTATAAAGAACCTGTGGTTCTCCTGGGTCCCCCTGACAAACCAGGGTAGCCTCGCCATCTCGAGATCCTTCATCAATCTGCCAAGTCTCAGCTGCCATGGGAAGGTGCTGGTGGTGGGTATCTTGGATAGGGCAGCGGCACGCTGTACCTACCGCAGAACACACACGCCGGACAGCCCCACCTTCCGCTCCCCACCGGCCACCTTCCTGTCCCCACATCTGTATGTGCAGCATCTGTGACTTTACCCAATCCCTGCAGCTTCCTCCAGCAGCTCTCCCCGCCCCAGCCCAGACCCCCGGCCAGCCTGAGTTCCTGCCTCCCAGTCACAGTCTGACTGAGGGCTTCGAGTGCTAAGCTGTACCAAGAGCTTCCTTCCCATTCTTTTCCATTGCTTTTTGCCTCCTCCTCCCCCAGTGCCCCTCCACCTCCCGGTGGATCTCTAAAGGAGAAACGCAAAGAGTTATTGCTTTTTAATTACAAGTGCTATTGTAGCATCTATAAGGAAGAACATTTTAAGCTTAATTGAGACCAAATGTGAAGTTAAATTAAATGAATAACTAATTAACGTAATGCTCTTGCATTAGCCCCGTGTGGGTGCGGAGGCCGGGAGAGAAGGCAGGTACCAGGTCCCGGTGAGCGCTCAGTGCCCAGCTGAGGGGCAGGGAGCCCGGGAGGGGCAGTGGCTGCACAGGAATCCCAGCCTCTGGCGTTTCCAGCTCCTGCCCCCAGCCGGAGCCCCCACTGCTGACCCCGGGCTCTCAGGCCCTGGCCTTCCTCATCTCTGCTGGCATTGGTCACTGCCCAGGCAGGGCCAGGCCTCGTGCCCACGTCCCCCATCCCTCACTGCCTCATCAGATCAGCCACCCAGGACCCACGGACGGCAGAGCTCTCGACCTGAGCCACTGGCTCCCCTTTTCCTTTGGTGGTTTACACCTATTTCCACATTCCCCATCTCACCCCCCTCCTACGGGACTTGCTCCTCCAGGCAGGCGGTGAACCTAATCCTTAGCTCCCTGCACTGCCATGCTGTGAGGTTTGGATGAGGAAACAGGTGTACAGGTAGTAACTGCTGAAGCCCAGGAAGAGAAGCTTCAAAAAAGTCATCCTCCCTACCCTGACCTTCACGGAACAAAGTTAGCCTACGGGCACCTCTCCCATCTCCCTTCCCAAAGCAGCTCCGGCAGAGGCCTCGCTGGGTTTGTACCACGGGGTTGTGTCGCCATCTAGTGGCACAGGGGAGTAACACAGCTAATCCGTACGTGGGTCCTTCTTAAGTGATGATGTCATGGCTCTTCTGGACTTGAGAAAGCTGAGCGCCAAGGCACACATCACAGCTCCTGCGCCTGGGGGCGCTGAGGACTAGAGGTCGCTGGAGGACTCCTACTTCCAGAGGGAAGTGAGCATCAAACACATGAGGTTGTGGGGTTGTCACCACCACATGGCATAAGACCCACTTCGCCGCTTGGAAGGCATCCTCAGCCCACACACCTGCCACGTGGTATCCTAATACATGCCAGGGCCGGATCTCCCTCGACCCCGAGGGCTCCACGAGTCACCAGAGGCAAGAGCACACTGATCGTCACCAGCCCCAGCCCACCAAACTTGTGGCCCCAGGATATTGCCTCAGCCACCCATGCGAACCCCACTTGCGGCTGCTGTGCCCTGTCAAAGATGAGCCCAGGCCCAGTTGGCAAAGGAAATCTGTATTGATCGGTGCTGACCGGCAGCTGAAGAGGTCAGGGGAAATGCTGGAGTCTGCCTGGCATGTCACAATCCAGGACTCGGGGCAGAGGGAATGTGTATGAGAACATGGTGCACCAGTCTCTCATTTCCCGCCAGTCTTGTCACCCTGGCACCTGTGCTCAGGGCGTAAGTCCTTGGCCTCTGTCCATGGTCCACTTCATCCCTGCAGCAGCGCTGGCACCACAGGGCACTCAGAACCACTGCATTTCATCTCAAAATGCGTCATGCACGCAGATGTTTTCAGCTGTGCTCACGTCTGTCTGACCCCACAGCACTGATCTTAATTTCACCAGTACCTGGGACATCAGCAGAGCTAAGGACGGGATGGGACAAGGAAGGCTGGCTCTCGAGGTGGGTGCCTGCACCAGAGGGCGGCGAGCCCCTCACATCCGGTGCTGCCCCAGGCAGCCCTCTTACCCCACCCTATCTCAGCCCTGGAAGAATGGTCACAATGTTTTAACCAAAGCCACAGGCGGAGTTATAAAAAGGTCAGGGCTAGGGATATAGCCCAGTTGCACAAGCACCTGGCTGGCAAGCGTGAGGTTGTGAGTTCAATCCCCAGTACCAAAAAACAAAACAAAAACAAGAAGAGGGTCAAACCTGGGGAGATACACAGAGAAGACTAACTCACTGCAAAGGGAAAAAGAGAGGTCAGTTACCTGTGAAACAGGGCTGATTACAGAGGTTAAAATCTAACGCGGGGCGGAGAGGTGCACCTCTGACCCTAGAGCCTTTGCGCTGTCTGCGCCTGTGCACTGATCCCTTCCCTCCTGCCGGCAGCCCCGGACTCTTCTGTCCGCTCTTGCACGGCAGTCCCTGTCAGGAGTCTTCAGCACCCTGAGCAGCCCTGCGGTTGGGCTGGGCTGGCTGAGGTTAGACCAGGAGTCTTTGCTTCTCCCCTCAGTGGAAAGTTCTATTGTCTTCTCATGGGGGGCTGTTTGGAGATCCATGATTCACTTCCAGCTGAGGCCTCATATTTCTTTATAGCTGCATGAAGAAGAGAGAGAGAAGGTGGAAAAGAGAGTGATATGCAACTTAATAAACTCTGCCTTCATCTCTGCTGCTTGTAATTAGGGCTCCATTTTACCCCTTGGGCAGGGACCAACGAACCACGAAAATACAAAAATCTTTAAAAGGTTGATGCTACCTACGGCAGCTTTACAAAGCCACTCCACATATTCCGTCTCACATCAGCCCCCGTCAACTCTGTCGTGTACTGAGGGATAAGCGTCCCCCATTGCACACAAGGATGCAGTGGACCTGGGCACGGCCCGTGGGCTGAAAGTGGAGAAGCCAGGACTGGGCTCCGGAGCCACCCCAGTGCCGCCCTGCACACCCCTGCTGGCCTTCCATAGAGGAGGACTAACTTGGGAACACCACAGGGCTGGGAAGGCAAGCCCCCAGACCTGGGTTCGACAGGTCTGTCTCCCAGGACCAGGACCAGCCCCTCGCCTCGAAGGGAGAGCACCAGTCTGCAGGCTGGGAGCAGGGCTATGGTATCTAAAGGTTTGGCTTTGCTCCATGCCAGGCGGAGAGCAGGACTCACGAAATACTCTCCTCTTTTTGTGTGTTCACCCCCTCACCCCCAGAATCCCTCAAATGGAAGAAAATAAACTAGGCTGTGCAGTCACAGGCTGGGGGTATTTGCATAGAGTGCTTGCCTAGCACACGCAAGGGCCTGATCCCTTAGGACCATTAAAACAAGCAAACAAGGGGGCTGGGGATTTAGCTCAGTGGCATAAGTGCCTGCCTTGCAAGCAGGCAGTCGTGAGTTTGATCCCCAGTACCGCTAAAAACGAAAAAGACAAAAAAAAAAAAAAAAAAAAAAAAAAAGGCCATCCATTTCTTTGGTTCCCGCCTCCAGGACAGAACAAGGCAGGACAGGCGCCATAAGTTTCCTGCTTGTACTGTGGCTTCCTGGTTTCAGTTTTTCCCTTGACCCCTGATACCCTCCTAAAGTGGAATGCTGGTCTGGGATCTAGCTCAGTGGCACAGTGCCTGTCTGGTAAGCGTGAGATCATGAGTTCGATTCCCAGCTCCAAATAAATAAATAAAAACGGAGTGCTTCCGTGGATATGACCCAGTCACCATGACCCCAGGGCAGTGGTGGCGAACCCTTTAGCACTTTCAGGGACACCAACAGCCCACTGTGACACACCCTTTAGCACTTTCAGGGACACCAACAGCCCACTGTGACACACGTGACATAGGTTCGCCACCACTGTGCCAGAGGGCTCTTCTCGCATTCACCGCCCATCCAGGTCCCAGCTCCTCGTAGGTAAAAGACTCTGCTCAGGGGAGTCAGAAAGGCCGCAGAGAGAGTCACCCAACCACCAGCACCAGCGAGCAGCTCAGCCTCTGGCCAGCACACTGCCGAAGCAACCACCAAAGAACACCAGGCAGACAGCTCACCCGGCCAGCCACAGACACCGCCTTCCAATTTTGCTTTAGAGGCTCTGATTGGTAGGTGCTTTTCTCTGCGTACCCTGGGCAGAGGGGTCAGGTGCACACGGTTTCTGAACTTCAGGTGGCACCTGCAGCTCAGCATGAGTTCAGCGGGAAAAGGCTTCCCCGCTCTGGTCCCTCTGCCCTAAGGGTATGACCAAAGCCCTACCACGTCCCTCGGGGAGACGCTGCTCAGACCCCTTGAGAAACACTTCCCAAGTACTATGCTCTGCTCAGATTGCACCTCTGGACCTGGCTCCCAAGAAAAAAGAGAAAGTTGGAAAAAAAATCAAGCCAAGGAGAGAGGATTTGCATACAGCCCATATTTGAATGGCATATTCGTCACAGACTTGAAGAAAATACTCACAAGAGTCATGGGACTTGAAAATACTATCACGGGTGGGTTAGGGCCAGACTAGAGCTAAGGAGACACATGGACAACAGAGGACAGGTTAGCAGGGTTGGGATGGGATGGGTCCACCGTGCCCACTGGGAGGGCTGGCTCGGAGTCCTCCAGGCCCAAGCAGGTGGAAAGTGACTGAGCCCTGGGTGGGTTCCCAAAGGAAGCGAGGTTGGGGGAGACAGGGCTTAGCTGTTGGCGGACTCACCCTGGGACTCTGCTCAGGGCCGCCTTCCAGGCCAGGATCTCCTTGTACACCAAGCGGCAGAGGAGCTGTGGGGAGTCCAAGGCAGAGGGGAAGGGAGGGCGCTCTGAGTCTCAGCACAGGGCTTCTGGAGCGGGGGTTGTACACTTCCAGGGTAGGGGTCACCCTGGGAAGCAATGTGGTTCTGGGAAAAAGGCAGCTGTTCTTGTTGTCCCAGAAGACTTGGTGCTTTGGACCTCCATTTCAGTGTAGCGAGACAGAACACCCCCAGTACCCTTATGTGCACCCCAAGAGCCCTTACCAAGCAGGCCAGGATGTCAGCAGCGATGAGCATGTAGAAGACGTTGTTCCAGCCTGTGGGGGAGATGAGCCCTGCCAGCAGGGGCCCCAGGGCCGCACCTGTATGAAGCACAACTGAATGAGTGGGGGTCCCCACTTGTTGGGAGCTCTTGAAGCTGGAAACTGACTACACAAGGCTGGGGTGTGGCCAGTCCCAAGAACAAAGAGTGCCCCCCAACCATGAAGCTGCTTCAGCCCAGCCCCATGACAATCCCAATAGGTTGCTAGGACAACAGGGTGTCATGTGACCTTAAGTTGCTAAAATGTATAAATAAATGCCCCACAGTGAGGGTTCAGTTCCTTTCCTTCCATCGGAGAGTAAGGGCTCCACCTGACCAAAGCTTTGTTTCTATTTTCTCTTCCTCTCACAGTCCTCCACCCATGGACCCTCAAGGCCACCTGGGTCATGGCACCCACTTCCCTGCCCCCCAGAGAACAGCATCCCAAAGGGTCTGGCCAAGTGAGCCCCGGGTTCAGCTGCTGGGCCCTGAAGCCGAAGTCACCAGCAGACCTATGGAGCCAGTGCCATCGATGATAGCTGTGACGGTGGAGAGGGCCTTGGCATTACCCCTCAGGCTCTGGTGAGTTCCCTGGGGAGAGAGCAGAGTGGGGTCCCCAGATGAGCAACAGCACCCGCAGGACAAGGGAAGGTTGACTCAGGGAAGGTAGAAACTAGGCTTGAGGTGGAGAGGAAAGAGGGGCTCGTGGTGAGTTTTGAAGGACTTTGAGGACCTCATCCCTGCAGGACAGGAAAGGGGAAAGAGTGGGGATTCAGAGGCACTCAGGAGACCCCCACAGCAGCGCCTGGGCCCTCAGGGATGGGTCACTTACCAGGTCAGCGGAGACTGCTGTGGTAATGAGCGCGTACGGGCCATTGACCAGCGCCCCACAGATAATCAGCATCACTGGGGGGTGCAGCAGAGATGGCACAGTTAGAGAAGAGGGCCACCCACAGCCTCAGAGCAGGTGACTCTCCAGGCTGCTGCCCTCCCAGCCCCCCTCTCTGATGCCCCCGTGTCCATGGCATAGGGTTCCCAAGGTGACGTCTTTCCTGTGGACCTGCAGGACTTGTCTTCTTACCTATGGAGCTGGTGATCCCGTTCTGGCCAACAGAATTGTACAGAAACATCTGTGAGAGAAGGAGGAGGGGGAGGTTGCGTCTCAGCCCCACCCCGGCTTGGTGGAAGCCCTAAGTTTAGCACAACCCTGTCCTGCTCTGGAACCCTGTGTCGCCTCACTCCTCTTTCCTCTTACACCCAGACCTCTCAGTCTTTAAGTGTCTCAGGGATGGAAGTCTAAATCGTGGTCATATGTTGTTGCCCTGTTCCCAGAAAGTCTTCTCTCATGTCTAAGCTCTTTCCCTTCCTCTGGTCAAGAAGTTTAGCAGCTGGTCTTCCTGTTCTCCACCAAGGACAAAGTCACCAACCCCTGTTCCAACACTCAAGTCTTGGTCTCTTTCGAGGGCTTCCCTGCTGTTCTGTGGACTGTCCTCCCCCTGACAGATGCACAGAAGTGCACACAGGACAGCTGTGTGCACAGATGCAGAGAAGGGCACACTGTCAGGGGCTGTCACCTGCTCACAGATCCCTGCTTCACCCGTGAGATCATACGTACCACCGGGGCAGCCAAGATCAGCATGACGCAGCAAGTGGTGGCCCTGCCATTGATGTAGTCTGAGATGAGCCCTGCCAGGATGCCACCTGCAACAGACACCCACTCACACACGGCCCCAGACAGGACCACACCACCCCATGCCTGCTGCCCAGCCCTGGCCTGGGCCTGCCACTGAGAACCAACAGAGCTTCTTCTTCCCTGTGCTCATCCCTGTAGGGAGCCAAACACAAAGGCCTCTTTCTTAGACAGGGCAGGAGCAGAAATGAGAAAACACTCAAGACAGCTTTCTTCTCTGGAGCCTGTGGCCTGCTGGGCCTGTTCTTTCTGCATGCCTACAGAGAAGCAGGGAAGGCAGCCTCCTGCAGAGCAGGTCAGGGCCTCACCTATGATGCCACCAACATCAAAGAGCGTAGACAGGTCTCCAGCCTCCTTGGCATCAAAATGAGCTGTGGAAAATATAAACATCCACTCAGATGCAAGCATTGGTACTCAGCAAACATCCCGAGTGCCACAGCCAGAAGGAATCCTATAGGGCACTCCCCTAGCCCAACCACCTCCTCAGAGGGGCAGCCAGGTGCAGGGTTGGCTAGGGCTGCGGTGAGTCTGCAGCACTTTGAGACTGTCCTGTTCTGGATCCCAGGTTTCCCCTGCAGGATGACCCTGGCCTCTCAGAACAGCCCCTCTCCTGCCAGCCTGGGACCTGACTCCTGAGAACCCTGCCCCAGGGGCCATCCTTTCTCTGGAGCATAACTGCTCTCACCAAGCTTCAGCCTGCCATGCTTTCTCTCTGCTCTGCTCCTGACTTCGAAGCAGGCCCCTCGAGGAAGTCCTCTCAGTCACCTTAGGTTTCTGCTAGTGCCCAGAGCCAGGAGGAGACTTGCAGGAAAAGGAGGACCTCATGTCTCGGCTGAGCATTCAGAAGTTTGACTTGAAGCCACACCTCTAAGGTTGACTCAGTCTGAAGTCAGCACCAAAGCCACAAAAGCAGTGTCCATGAAATCACCCCCACAGTCTACCACTGTCACAGAGAGGGGCCCCTCATGTAGAGTGGTGGGCAAGCTACAGCCTGAGACCCAGCTGGGACCAATCCCCATGGTACCCTGTTCAGAGAGAAAGCATCTGAGTGGCAGGGCAGCCCTGTTCCTTCCAGGGTTGGCAGGGAGTGGAATAGCCCTGTGTGATGGTTCTGGGTGAGAAGTGGCGTCTGAGGCCCCTGGGGACAGGAAGGTGGAGCAGGCCACTCCCTGGTGGAGCCACCCCACCATGGAAAAGCAGAAACCCAGGCCAGGTGGACATGAAATGTCCTTTTCAACCACAAAAGTCACCTTCCCCATCATGCATCCTTGGGCAGAGGCAGGGGCTGAGGAGAGGAACCCACCAGGTAGGGTGGCTCTCAGTGCAGCCTAGTAGACCTCAACACAAAGGCATTGGTCCCGAAAGGTCCCTTTGGCAGAAGGACACCAAGGTCACCTCCATGCAGTGGGACGGCTCACCGGGCCTCTTCCCAGGCTGGGTGAAGCACTCATGCAGACCTTTCCTGCACTCCCAGCTCCCACACCTGTGAGCCAAGCAGCCCCAAGAGGATTTGTCCTGCACTCAGGCTGGAGGAGAAGACAGGAATGCAGGACAGAGCTTTGTGCTACTGACACCCAACTCAGCTCCACAGGAGGGCTGGAGTCAGGTCTAGGAGGTGGGACACAGGGCCAAGCTTTCCACTTAAACACCTGAGCAGACCTTGGGTGTCAGGAATCCTGCCTGTACACTGGAATCGTACGCAGCAATGCCATCCTTCCTCCCCGGCACCCTCAGAGATCCTGTCCTCTCAGCACTTCTCCCCCTGGACTCACCCACATTGAAGATGTAGAGGGGCAGCCAGTAGAGGAAGGTGTAACTGACCAGCTTGGCGAAGAGCAGACACAAAGAGAACTCGATCACACCCTGGAGATATAGCGAAAGTCACAATGGAAAGGGATCCAAGATCCTGGTCCAGTGGTGGCCCCAAGGGGCAGCTCAGCACCACCTTGGGCCTGTCCATCACCCCATAGAAAGCAACCCCAAATGCATACCCAACTCCAATAAGGGAACCGGGCCTGCTGTGCCCAAACAGGTCTCCCACACTGCCCTCCCCAAGCAGCCGGCTCTCCCAGGAAACCATCAGTCACTCCCAGCACCCTGTCTCCTGACACCTGCTGGAAAACTCCAGAGCCCCTTTTGTCTCTCCGTTCCCCAAACATCCTACCGGGATCTTGAGGGCCCCCAGGAAACTGATGGCGGCAGGTTCGGGGACTGGCTCCTTGGGGCAGGTGGCCACAGCTTCCACGCCGCTCTCCCGGTGCTGGTAGGTACTGTTCCCGGGGTCCTCAGGGTTGTCCTGATTTTCACTAGGTCCACCCTGAGCAGAAAAGTGAGATCCTCACTGTGGGCACATCCACCATGTGCCACCTCCCTGAGCTGGAGTGACTTGGGTTCCCAGCCTGTAGGGCCCAGCCAACCTCTGCCAGGCCTGTCAGGTAGCTGGGGACCCAAGCCCAGGGTGCAGCCCCTCTGGTGGAGGAGGGCAGAGACAATACCAAGAGGGCTCCCACTCACATGGTGCTGAGGAGGAGAGCAGTCCACATCTTCAGGGTCTGAAAAGTAGACAGCATCTCTAAGAAGCTTCCCAAGTAGCAGGGCGCTCCCTCGCCTCACACAGGGTCTCAGCTGGTGCCAGGGAGCTGCCCGCCACCTCCCACGCAGCCTCCCAGCACGAGGCATCAGGCACCAGGACTCGGGAGGCCCGGATTCCGGGCCTGGATGTTGTAACCACCAACTGTGTCACTATTCCTTTCCGACTCCCAGTGGCTCTGACACTTGGCCTCCCCGGCCCACGGAGCTGTCCAAGAGTATGGACAGGAGCCATCTGTACAGGATGTAAAGGACCTGGTGCTCCCGTTACATCTGCTACTTCCTGCCCATCCCAGACCCAACCAGTGCTGGCCAGGCACCTGCTACAGGGCAAGCACTGGACACTGTCTCACATGGACCTTCAGAGACCCTAGGGCGTAGATATATCTTCTTTGCAAATGACAAAACTGAGACTCTGAGACACACAGCGGGCGCCCCAACCCCATGACCAGCCGTATCCTTTGCACCTCCAGCCACTCTCTCCAACTCGCGCAGTCCTTGGGGAGGTAGGGGTTACTCACACTCGATGAGGAAGAAGAAGGTAAAGATGCCCATGGCAGCAGTGATAATGCCAGGCACAATGAACGACAGGCCCCAATCACTGTTCACCCAAACGCCAGCGATCAGGGAGCCAATGATGTTGCCCACAGAAGTGTGGGAATTCCAAATGCCCATGATGAACCCTCGTCTGGAGGGGAGGAGAGGAAAGGAAAGGAGAAAACAGCAGCTCAGAGCCTGCTTTCAGCGTCCAGGACACACCCCAGACAGGGCTCCCGAGGCTCCAAAGTCACCATCAGTGAGGGGGCTTTGGCTGGTGTCAAGTAGGTGGCAGCAGGATCGGGGTGCCCTCCTCCCTGTAGTGTCCTGAGCAAACACAGTTGGAGATTGCCCCTCAAGGTCACTCCAAAGCCATGGTCTTCAGCTGAGGACACTTCTACCCTCACAAACATCTGGCATTATCAGGAGACTTTGGTCAACTCAGGGTTTGCCACTGATCTCTCCTGAGGTGCCCAGGAGCCCCCTAAACACCCACAATGTGTAGGACATCAACAGCACCAAATCCTTGCTCAGAAGCAACTTGTTTTGGACAAAATCCAGTTCAAGAAAACAGAAACAGTTATGAGAAAATATAACTGCAGCTGCCCGTACGATGGGTCAAAGCCTTCTCAGCAAGACAGCCGGTCCTGCTGCGTAGCATGCGAACACCCTCAGCTGTGAATCCAGCCAGACAGAGGCATGGTCCCATCTCTTCCCCTGAATGCGCTCCGGAGCAGAGGACCACAACTGGCTCCTCAGTGCCCTCAGCCCCCCTTAGTCCTCCCTACTCTTCCTCCTCCTCGTCACACTCACTTCCCCTTCCCGAACCAGTTGCCAACACAGGCCACGACGGAGGGCCAGCCGGTGGTCTGGACAAGTCCATTGCAGATCTGCAAGGAAAGAGCTGGGGTGAGAACAGGCCTGGGCCGCATGCCCTGGTGACCACCCAGTCATGGTCCCCACACTGCAAACCCGGCCTGTCCCTTATGGACTCGTCCATCCCCACCCCGCAGCATGGTGTCATAAGCTGCTTTCTCCTCTAGTTCAAGATTACTGGAGCACAAGCCTCCGCATCAGAAGTGGCCTCAGCCTAGCGCTCAAGGCGGACATCCCGAGGCCATAACACTGGGGTGGGTAGCAGGACCTATGGGTATGCAGACGGAGCCCCGGAAGACCCGCAGGGAATCCAGGTCCTCAACGGTTGTGCCCGGAGGCGGCTAGGGGAGAACTAGTGGCCTCTAGGGTCCATTCGATGATGGGCACAAAGTCTTGAGGACGTGACTTGGTATCTTACCTGAATGAGCACAAAGTACCAGAGCATGTGGATGTTCCAGAAATATGCCAGGCCCAAGAGGGAGGTGAATAGGCCACTGAGCAACATTCCGGCAGAAAGGTAGTAACGGAGGGGGAGCCGCTCCCCAAAAATCCCACTGGAGAAGTGACAGTTGGAGTTTTGGTTAGTGTTTTATTTTGTTTTGGTTAATCTCCTCTCTGTCCATTCTACCATCTCCTTCTTCCCCGACCCCACGGTGCTGAAGCCATTCCAGCGAAGATGTCTCCTGATGATCCCTGTGCTGACGTATGCTTAGGCCAGCCTGGGCCTCCACTTCCTGGACCTCTGTTTTTCTTGAGTCGCTGCCTGGAAGGGTGCGAGCCGTGCTCGCTGCCCAGCTGACCACTCCTCAGCACCTCCTGTTCACTCAGTCCTGGTTCCCGAATTACTCCTGAGGCTTTTAGCATCAGCCATCTGCTAATGACTCCATCTGCATGTTTTCAGCCCTGACCCAGAACGTCGGGATCCTGTCCAGATGCCTTTGGGACCTTTCCCTGGAGGTCCCCAAAGTATTTAACACCCAGCACTCTAAAACTAAATTCCTCTTCCTCCTTCTACCAGCCAGGCCCAGCCTGCACTCCACGCTAAGTAAAGGCCACCCCCGTCCACCCGGCCACTCACGGCAGCTCCCTCAGGCTCGGCCTCTCTTTGTGCCCCTCACACTCAGTCCTCAAGGCCCATACATCTACTTTCTTCTTTCCTTTTTCCAGGGCTAAGGACCAAACTCAGAGCCTTCCACACACGAGGTAAAACCCTCCAGCACTGAGTTACACTGCCAGCCCCCAACCCACCCCTTCGGGGATTCCCCAGTGTGCCTACCCCTCCCCACCTCTTCAACCACAAGTGACCCATATCCCAAGCTGCTGCCAAATTGTTCCCTTGGTGTGACTGTGCTTGCCTTTCCTCAAATCTACCTCTGTGCAACCCCACCAGAGTGATCTATCCAAAACGTAAGTCTGGGATAAAAATTCCTCAGTGGCTGTCCTTCCCCAGGGGGACACACAGGCCTCATCTGTGACCCCCAGCCATGAGCTCCATGCTGCCTCTGCCACTCTGCACACGGCTCGTGATGGGACCTGCCCCAGTGTCTCCATGACCAGGGCTGCTGTTAGAGGACCCTGGTCCATACCCACTGCCATGGCTCTCTCCGTGCATACTCAAATAGTGAATTCGGGAAAAGGGGCTGCTAACGGTGCCAGGAGTCTGCCAGGCAAAGGAGCAACTGGGGTGGCCACCCGTGGAGAGGAAAGGAGATGGGCCGTGGGCCAAAAGTGCCTCCCACCCAGGGGAGCTGTTCACATGCTCACTTCAGCCCGCTGCGCCCTGCTCAGTTGCTCTCAACTATCTCCCTGTGGCTGGGCACGGGCTCTGCAGGCCTCTCTCTTTACCTGATAAACATGCCGATAGCGTAGGCCACAAGGAAGGCATTGTCCACGGCCCCCAGTAACACATTGTAGTCATCTTTGTCTGAAAGCAGACAACAGAGGCAGAAAGTGGGTTGCTTGACTGTCCATGCAAGAAGTCCCTTCCAGCCTTGTCTTGAGAAAGAAAGGAGGAGAGGGGAAAGACAACAAGACCTGGTCTTACCAAATGGACTCCAGCTGCACCATGTGGTGTCATTGAGACTGTGGGTGTCATTGATGGGGTTGATCAGCTCTGAGCAATTCTGATGCAGACGGCTCTGAGAGGGAACAGGGAGCATGGGTCAGGGGTCTCCCATCATCCCAGAACCCGCAGAGAGGAACAAGCCTCCTCCAACCCCAACCAACCACAGCACTCAGTGCTCTGCCTGCCGGCACCTCCTCTGCTGGGATGGGAAGGCGGCCCATCAGACAAAGGACAGGGCCCTCAGATCCCAGGACTCTGCCTTTCACCTCATTCACACCCACTGGCACTGCTGTCAGACTTACAGGGAGCCCCTAGGGAACCACTGCTGGGGAAGAGTGGGCCTGCACTGGGCAGAGTGGTGGTGAGCAGGGCGAGGGAAGGGGGAGGACAATGGCCTGAGGTCCAGACCCTTCTGTCTCCCGGTCCTGCATTCGCCCCGAGCACCAGCCTTACCTTGACAACACTGATGGGCTTCCGTGACATGTGATAACAGGTGTAAATGAGGAAGGTGAGCAGCAGGATGAAGCCACGGAACCTGCAAGAGAAGACAGACATCCAGATCAGCAGGAAGCCAGGTGCCAGCTGGAAGCAGCCCCAGGGTCTCGGCACCAAGGACTCTTTACCTTCAGGCTCCTTCCAGACACACGTTCTTCGGGGCAGAGGTCAGGGAAGGCCCCGAACAACACCCAGAGGCCAGGCTGCTGGGGGCGCCAGTCTCCCTGGTTGACCTCTGAGGCTTCTAGGAACCTGCTTAGCTGGACACTCAAACACTGGGTTTGAGTGTCCTCCTCCTCCGTTTCTCTGGGTCTCACCAAGGCGAAGGTGCCTCTACATCACTGCATGTGTAATTTAGATAATGGCAGGGAGAGGGACAATTTTTTAAACGTTACAAGTGATGGGATTTTGGAGGGACCGGAAGGGGGAGGAGGGTCCAACGCTAGGTCTGCATTCCCCTTAAGCCTAGCAGACAGCAGACAGAGCCCAGGCCACAGCTGGGGCTGAGTCAGCGAGGCCAGTTAGTGACACAGCTCAAGCGCTCTCTCTGCTAGTTCCACGCGGGTCCCATTCTCTAGGATGGAAAGATCTTTTCCCCCTCTGTGGTTCACATGTTCCATGCATGGGGATGGAAAGGACAGTCCAGGCAGGTCCCCCTCACAGTTTCCAGTCCCTGCCCCTGTCCTGAGGGTCTGGGGCCCAGCTGCAGTGCCTGCCTGAGTCACCCGCTGCTTCCCCCTGCAGGGCATCAGCTGAGCTGAGTCATCAGACAGAGGTCGGAAAGTATATGGAAAACAGACTTCAGAACAGGGGCTGGGGATGCAGCTGATCAGTGTATCACATGCTTAGCATGCCCACGGCCCTGGATTTGATCCCCAGAACCACCAAAAACCCAAGGGAAAAACCCCCAAAAGAATAGCTTCCTGGGAGAAAGGGCTGGGCATAGAGGAAAACCTGGCAGGCTTTGCTCATTAAAGGTGCCATTCAAAAGAGGGAGGAGCCCAAAACCCTTGGCCATGTGTCTTGGCTCCATAAGCCAGAGGACAGACACTATCTGCTCACTCTGCCCTCGCTGAGATTCTGCCTCCAAACCCCAAACTCACTTCCCCCAAACATCCCGTGAAGCAATACAGGATACCGCTTGTGAAAGAAAGGGTGTTTCCACCAAGCCTGAATCTGGCTTGGGCTGCCTGGGCTCCCTCTCACTATGCACCTGGTCTCCAGCTTCCAAGCTCAAGTCTCTGCCTCTGTTCTCTCCCCTGCCCCAGTTTACTCCCAAAGTGAATGAGCTTACACGTGCATCTCTTCATTGCTTGGCTTTAATTTTTCTGTTTCTTTCTATTCCATGAGGAATGAAGTTCTGGCTGTGAGATCTGGATCTCCACAACCCGGCCTCCCTGACTGCTCGTTCCCAAAGGCACTGAGACGGCCGGAGAGGTCTTCTGAGCCCATGAGTTCTAAAACAAAGCTGGGGCCACCCCACGTGTTGTCACAGTGACACACATCAGCAAACTGTGGGGCACAAAGTTTTCCAGGTTCCACCAGTTGCTATATGGCTTGCAACTCCTAGTTAAGGGACTTTTAGAAGAGAATTTAGAAAGTGCGCCTTGCTGGCTTTGTGTAAAGAACAACTGATGCAAGAGAACGTCAGCCTGTGGACCATACCAACTCTGTGCCTGCCGAGGGTGCCACCTGGTCCGGGAGAAAAGCAGGAAGCTTTGAGGGATGGGTCTTAGTCTGTTGGGTAAGACTTTCTTGTCTCTGTTTTCCTCCTTATTTGCACATGGGTAGAGTAGCATTAACCCCATCTGTCTCAAAACAAAAGAACACTATCTCACTCTCACCCCTATCCTGGGACCCTGGTGGTACCACCTTTAAGACTCCTAAACTGCTGGGGATTTAGCTCAGCAGCATAAGTGCCTGCCTGGTAAGCATGAGGTCATGAGTTCAATCCCCGGTACTGCAAAAGAAAAAAAAAGACTCCCAAGCTTCAGCTAGGCCTACCTTACTTGACCTTGCCAGGATGTGTGGCCACTGAGCAGAGCAACAAATCAGATCCTTCTGGAGGGCCCACTGGGGTCCCTGACAAGTCCAACAAAGCCTGGTGCTGAATGGGACCTGCAGAGCCCTATCAGGTGCCAGGCAAAGCCAAAGAGGGCATAGAAGTGTCGCCCAGCAGCCAACGACCTTTCCTCTGCTACCTGACCTCTGCACACTGTTCCACCGCATGCCCTAGAAGGTACCCACGGAGGAAGGCCTCAGCCCCTCAGCCCTGACTTCTCTGCCTCCCTCCTGCCTTTGGCCCCAGGGATTCTTCCATGTCTGTTCCATTCCCTTTCACCTGCAGTCCTGCCCCTCCCAAGTGGCTGTGACAGAGGACAAACAGTCCAGTGTCCGTGTCTAATATCCTGGTTCTTTTGGCAGAAAGACAGCTGCTTTCCTGTCCATCCATGTACCTACATGTCCCAGGTACAGTACTAGTGATCCGGTGACAGCAAGAAAAGTCACCAGAGGCACCTCTGCCCTCCTGGAGTTCATGGGTCAGTGGGAGGGGGACAAAATTGGCGTAACCCTGCTATATAGTAGGGAAGCCTTGTGTGACAAGGAGCAGAGAGAAGGGACACCTGGCCCAAGTGATGGGGGCAGGGGCAGGCCAGGAATCCTGGAGGTGAGGTTTCAGTTGCACTTTCAAAAACAAGGTGGTTGCCAGGCCAGCCAGGGCTGTACAGGAAGATGTGTCAGAGACAGGAAGCAGCGCATGCATAAGTGCAGAGGTGTGAAATAACACTACCTGTTTGTGGAACTCTGCACAGTCCAGGATCCCTGGAAGGTGGACCGAGCCAAGCACAGGAGGAGGAGTGGCACAGGAGGCAAAGCTCAAGCTAGGTAAGGCCTTGAGTGCCAAGTGGTAGCGCTTGGGCTGTCTCTTTAGGGTGACATGAAGTCATGGGAAGGCCTCAGATGTCCTAGCTCAGGGTGCTTCTCCCTCAAAGACCCAGAGCTCTGCCCTGTTGATTCTGGGAGGAAGCCCCAGCTGGCCTTCCTCACTGCCAGGCAGAAGCCATGCTCTGGGCATGCAGCATTCTGCCATCTGTTCCCCAGCACATGGCAGCCTCATGGGGTCCCCAGCTGGTACCTTCCAAGGAGGCAACGTCTAAAGAGAAAAGAGTAAGGACTTAGGAATCAGGCAGAAGCTAGTTTCATTCCTTTAACCTGTTTGTGCTTCTGCAAGCCCCCAGTTTATCACCTTGCTCATAGAATTACCAACAGGTGAGTGAGATGATGACTACAACAGGTCCTATAGCATTCCCGATACTCAGTGGACACTTAGAAAAATGCAGCTACGCTCGTTTGCAGATGATGAAGAAGAAGAGAGCAGGAGGAGTTGAGGCAGCCCTTTTTGCTCTGTTGCTTGAACCAAGAATGGCAGCAAAGTCTTCGGGACCGTTGGTGATCCAGACCCTGGATTCCCCAGGCCTAGGGACATCTGGAGACCAGAATGCTTCCCAGTCCGGCGCCCCAAGAGGCACAAACATGTGAAGCTGCTAGAGCCTAGTCTCTGGGTGCTTGTATTGGTACAGAGAAGTGACTCTGGCCTGCTGGGCCTCCCCAGTGCTCCCCTAGGGGCAGACAGGAGGATTGGCAAAGGTCTACATCGGCACTACGAGTGACTGCCCTCCTCTGGGGTCTGCCCAATGCAGACCACAACCTCCTACAGAAAATCCAACTCCGGACTTCTGGGAAGGGGGCCAGTAGTGAGCAGCAGAGAAAGAACCTCTCAAGTTTTGGGGTCCAGACCGTGGAGTACAGCAACGTGAGGAGGAGAAGGAGAGGAGAGGTGGGGCCCCTGGATACAGGAAGGATCTGAACTGAGACTTGAAGCCCACAGAGACAGATAATTCAGGAATCCAGCAAACATAAGGAAACCAGGGCAGCGGCCCTGCGGGCCAGGGAGAAGCAGCCAGGAAGCCGTGCAGCCCCCACCTGTGTGTGCTGGTGGGGGCCCTGTAGGCCGGGGAGGGGCAGCAAGGGAGCCCCCTCTGTCTCCTGCTCCTCCCCCGACTCCTGCCAAGCAACTGCATGCGACTCAGGCTGAGATGATAATAACTAAAGTCAGAAAGCAGCCTGGCATTTTTGTTGTCTGACTTTGCAAGCCTGGGGCAGGCAGTCTGAGCAACTATTTAGACAGTAACAGTATGTAATATAGTAGTAATTGTGGATTTCCTACTGTCCTATCACTGTATTGTTTCATTATACTGTTGTTTTATTCCTTTGAAAATTAGAGAGAGAAAAGAAAACTCGACTCTCACATAAGCAGGAGAATAAGGTGCCCGGGTTCCTCAACTGTGTATGTGGTGCTCGGCCAGCCCTGGCTTCCTCTGGGACTTCCTGTCTGAACTCCGGAGGGATGGAGAGATGAGCCTAGCACTGCAGCACGGCTGGGCTCAGTGCATCTGGGGCCGGGGCTTCCCCAAGTCCTGTGCTCTTCCTCTGACACTTGGTCAGGGCTTCTGGGGAAGAGGACCCAGGTGCCATCACTGCACTGTATTCCATCTCACCCAAGTCAGAATGGTTATCAACAAGAATACCAAACAGTGAGTTAATAAATGCTGGTGAAACGGAAGGAAAAGAAACCTTCCTGCACGGCTGGTGGGTACGTAAATTACCAGAACCACTATGAAAATCATATGGAGGTTCCTCAAAAAACCATTTGACCCGGCTTTACCGTTCCTTAGTATACAATGGGTGAACAAGACACACAGTGAATGTTTAAATAAGTTTATTACAGTAAAAGATACACTGCACACTCACCATCCCTAGGACTTCCCCTCATTCACAACGTACTTATCTCATCTTGCTCGCCACCCTCCAAAGCAGTCTAGAAGTCCTCTTTGTGATTATCTTTATGAGCTTTGATAAAAAATACGGTGAGCGCTGCTCCTAATTGGCATTCAGAGGGAAAGCAAAATTATCAAAACATCATTTATAGCATTATCTGCCACTGTGCCACTTCTGGCTCTTCCGTAAAGTCAGAGCAACCATGAAAAATAAATGTTTTGAATGAATTCCAGACATCAAGGCAGCTATAACAGTAAAACTAAGACTCCCACAGAAGAGGATTTCCAGAAAGGCTTCAGAAAGAGCCAAAAACAATGAGAGAAGTGTTTGAAGCAGGCCGACTCTTCTGAGAGTAATAAATAGCAATGTATCTTTCATTGTAGAAAACTTAAAAAAAAATGGACCCATCCGTGTATTTTTTGATCATAGCATGTATTTCTGAAGGAATTAGAGTCAGCGTGCCATAGGGTACCTGCATGTCTGTATTTATTGGTACAATTCTGATAGCCTAAGTGTCCATCAACAGAAGAATGGATAAAGGAAGCCTAGTAAACGTCCACAATGGAGTATTATTTTAAAAGAATGAAATTGTATCACTTGCAGAAAAATGGATGGAACCAGAGATCATCATGTGGAGTGAAATTAGCCAGATTCAGACAAAGGTAGCATGTTCTCCACAGCACGTGGAATCCAAGAAAGATGACATGAGAGTGGAGGGAGACTATTATTAGACAAGAGGAAGGGACTAAGGGTAACGGGGACATGAGTAAAGGAAAGATAAATACAATTAAAATATACAGATGTGTGAAAATAGCACACAGAAGCTGGGTGTGTCGGCCCGAGTCTGTAATCCTGGCGCTTTGGGAAGCTCAGGCGGGAGGATTGCAAGGTGGAGCCCAATCTGGGTGGCTTAGTGACTTAGCAACACCCTGTCTCAAAACTTAAAATGGGCTGAGAATGAAGCTCCTTGAAAAGACCTTGAGTTTAATTCACATGGAGCGGGGAGGGAACCCCAACATTGAAATCCAATATTTTGTAAAATTCGTAAGTTAAAAACAGGGCCTGTGCAGCACCTGCCTGGCAAGTGTGAGGTCCTAAGTTCGATTCCCAGTACCAAAGAAAATATCATCAATAAGATAAAAAAAACAGTAAGCCAAAGGTGCTTGGTGCCATGGCTCAGCATAAGGGCTGGGCTAGGCTGAGATGGGGGCTGCCGATGTCACAGGCTCACAGGCCAGAGGCAGGAAGAACCCACGGGTTTCACTTCTCCTCTCACAAGTCCTTCCCTAGAGAACCACAGAAAATACACTCAGCTGTGAGGGGAGGGATATAGGCCCAGGGCAGCGCTGAGTTGGGCAAGGCAGCCAAGCACCAAGGGACACCAAAGGCAAGGCCCCCAGGCTACTCCAGCTGGGGCCACTGCCCAATGACTTCCTTTGCTGAAGTGTCACTGCTGAGCGGTCCCACACCAGATCCTGGTTACTGAATAACCAAGGCTGATACAGGGACTATCTCTGAACTATTAGCTGATGGCCCCTTATTCTTGCAAAGAAATGTGATAAAAACCTTTATCGACCTTGGTAAGACTTTGCACTGAGAGTGCCTCTGCGTTGGGAACAGGGAACGGTATGTTTTAAAGTGGCAATAGATACAAACAAACAAACCAACCCACCCCCAAAGGACCTGTCACTGCCAACACTGTGACAGCCAAAGGACAAGAACCAGCGCCAGGGTTGGGATGCAGCTTAGTGGTGGCACCTGCCCAGCATGCAGAAGGCCCCGGGTTCCACCTCCAACACCAATAAACCTCACCACCATAACCACCACCACCAAGCCAGCAGGGGGTCTCTTATTCTGGGAGGGAACGGAAACAGTGCCCTCTCCCTGGCAGCCACTGGGTCACCCCAGTTTTCAGCATTCCCCTTTCTTGCTCAGCAAGTACTCTGCCAACAGTCCCAGCCACCATCTAAAGCCACTGGGGACTTAAGCCCCTCGGTGAGCGATCCTGGTGCCCCCTCTGCCTCAGCCACAGCCAGGGGGCATTAATGGGCCTGTGGGGCTGCCCAGGAGGCCTCATGACAGCTTGATTATGGGCAGCCTTGGTGCTTTCTCCGAGGAAGTGAACTCTGTGGCATGTTCTTGGGTGTGCCTGTTCTGGGGTCAGCAGATGTGAGATGATAGAGGGCTGGGCACAATAAGAACCAGGGTCAGTGGTGAGGCTGCCACCACCCTCACACCCAAGGCCTCTCCTGACACTGAGAAAGGCCCTCCTGGAACAGATACCACGGGGGCAGAGTCCTGAGGCAGGCCTTTCGCATACAAGTAGGCCAAGGACAGGTCAGGGGGGAGGACACAAAGCATTTTGGTGGACAGAAGCCATGCCAATGATCCCAAGCTTCTCACCCCTCCTTCTCTAACTGGGACTTGGATGGGATGGACACGGGTTGGCCCCAGAGCCGGTTTCTCTGGCTTCCTTCCAGAGAAAGAGCCACTGGCGAGAAGCCACAGGAGGCCAAACCTTCTGGAAGAAATCATTGACTCTGAAAATGAGCTTTTTAGGAAAGAGGAAAACGTAGATCACTACTTTGAGAAGGAAGCCAAGGGAAGGAAGGAACTCTGTGACCTCAGACAGGATAAAGAGACAGGGCTTTATGGTGCAGAATGAGGTTTGCTCAAGTGAGCCTGTAAGTTTATAGGGTTTAGAAGAGGAGGTCAACAGGTGTAAGTTCCACTCCCTCCTGAGACAGGCTGTGTGGACAGCACAGAGGCAGCACGGCGATGATGGCCGAGCTGCGGCCCTGCCCAAGGATAAAATGATGGCCTCGCCTTCAAGGTACTCTGCAGGCCCAGCCACACCTCATCCTCACCCACTCCTCCCATGCATGAAAGACCCTGGGCACCAGGCGCGAACTAGAGGCCGGAAGGAGAGCAGTGTCAGTGCCCACCTGCCCCATACTCATGCCAGTCCAGTGACAGCCGGGGGCTGGGGCCTGGGCTTCAGAGAAGGCTCCCTGCTGGGGTCTGTCATTGCTGCTGTGGTCATTGGGGGGCTGTTCAGCTCCATCCTCAGTGCTCAGAGCTGACTGCATCC